ATTGAATTGAATTTTTTTTAAACATTTTATTGTATTTTTGGAGAAAATATACACAACAAAACAAGTTCTCATTCAATAATTTCTACACATATTTCTCAGTGGCATTAGTTATATTCTTCCCAATGTGTCAGCATTCTCATTATTTTAATTCTAGTAGTTCTATTCCCACTAACTTAGTATCACTATCCCCTAACCTTCTCATCCATACTTTAGAGTAACTGTTGATCACGTGGTCTCATATAGATAATTTCTGTCAAAGAGCATACTACTCAAAGATGAAATTTCATTAAATGATCTTTTATTTTACATTTTCCAGTAGGACAAAACAGAGATTTAAAAAAAAAAAAAAGTACAAGGGAAATAAAATAATTAAAAAAATGTTTATTCATAAGAGAAAATTAGTCTGATAAAAATCACTTAGTCTAATGTAAATAATTTAATCTGGTATAATATTCTACCAAAAGTCTTAGTATTGTTTAACTTTCTCAAGAAACCCAGTGGAAATAATAATTGGTTTTCATTAGCAAATGTACTGTTGAACAATAACATTGTATATTGTAGGATAATTTTTCCACGCATGATGTTTGTATTCATTTGGTTTTTAAAGCTTGTTTGCATGGCATTCTACAGATGAATGCGTTCTTTGAAAAATTATTTTAATTCTAATAAAATATTATTGATTAAATTGGAAGCCCGGCGGTTCAAACCACCAGCCACTCCTCAGAAAGAAGGTTGGGCAATCTACTTCAGTAGCGATACTGTCTTGGAAACCCAAGGAGGGTTCACTATGAGTCGGGTCCGATTTGATGGCACATAACAACAAGCAAATATTTTATTTTATTTGGAATCCTGACAGAAAATATTTTAACACAGATGCTTTATCATCCATTGCTTGAATTTTCTGTTTCTCCTGGTCTCCTGAGTGACAAAATAAGTAGGGTATAATATGATTTCTAAAGAAATTAGAAAAAAAAAAAAAAAAAACCTTCAGAAAAATCATACTCTGTATTCTTCACAGAAGGTCACTTCTTGTATGATAACACAAGCTTTAGATTTTTCACAAACAAGCACATGATTAGATAAAAATCTTTTTATAAATGTTAACATACAAAATTTCAGCTAACAAGTGTTCATAATAAGTATTTTATATTTTACAATTTCTGTATGTCAAGATTATATATATGTATATATACTACACTGCATAGAGCATATGGAGTACAGAATATAGGCTATCAATTATTGAATATATGTGATTCAATAGTGAACTAACGTATACTGAATATTAATTCACTATAAGATAGATTCTCACAAATATACTTGGTTTCTGTGGTAATTTAAAACTTTTGTTCTCACATTTGTTATTTATGTATTTATTATCATTACAGATTAAAAAAATCAACAGAAATTTTCCTGTAAACCAGCAGGTAAGATTGAGAAGTACTTGAAATCTGATTTGTGTATTTCTTTAAACTTATCTATTATAGAATATAATATTGATGACAAATGATTTTTATGTGAAAATTACTATATTACTGTTTTCTATCTGAAGAAAAGTATGTAATTTAATATACTTCTTTCATACTGTGTAAAATACATTTTCCTAACTTACATTAAAGAAAAAATATTTTTCAAAAAGTTTTTTACAAAGAAATTGTCAATTTTTTTGATAAATTAATTATATTGATTTGGACTCAATGTGAAAAACTTTGAGAGCTGCATACATGTTATAATTTTGCTTAATCTCAACATTTAAGAGACTGGTGTTTATTTGATCTAAAAATTAATAGCATTTTCAACTATGCAAACCTACAGGATAATGTAGAATCTGCAAAACACCACATAACATGGATAAATTTGGAGGATATTTTGCTGAGTAAAATAAGTAAATCACAGAAGGATAATTATTGTATTGATCCATTATTGTAAAAGTCAAGGAAAGTTTTATATATGGAAGCAAATTTTCTTTGCTGGTTACCAGATGTGGGAGTGGAGGGGAGGGAACACTGCTAGATGGGTAGAGGCAAGTATTGATTTGGGTGAAGGAAAAGACAATGTACCAAATGTGAGTTATTAACCTAGTGGCATTGACAAAGAGGAAGACATAGAGAGGTGCACGGGAGATACAGACAACAAAGATGAACCCTTTTGCACATGCTAATGCATTGTTAGTGATGCCAAACATTGATGTATGGTTGGATAGATGGGTGGAGAGGCTGAATGATTAGGTATGTCTATGCAGGGGGGAGTATACCCGTGGCCATGTATAGGATTGGCAGACAATGTTTTTAAAAGTGTACTTGTATGTTCTACAAGAATTTCCATGTATATAATAGCTCTAGCGACATAGTGCCTAAAGCATTTGACTGTTAACCAGAAGCCTGGCAGTTCAAACCCACCAGCTACTCCTCACAAGGAAGACTGGGAAATCTACTTCTGTAGAGATATCGCCTCAGAAAGAAACTCAAGGAGGGGTCACTATGAGTCAGAAATGACTTGATAGCAGTGAGGTTGTGTTTGTGTGTGTGTGTGTGTGTTTAGTAGAGCTGACAAGGGACAAGGTTGTAGTCACATCTTGGCCAAAGCCAGCTACCTTGAGAGAATGAGTAGTTAGACTTGTAGGCTTAGGACCATGGTCACAGGGGACATCAAGTTCAATTGGCATACATACGACACAAAAACATTGTTCTACATCCTACTTTGGCAATCAGTGCCTGGGTTCTTAAAAACTTGCAAGCAGCCATCTAGATGCAATGCTGTGTCTCTCCTCATCCAGAACAAAGAAGAATGAAGAAAAACAAAGAAACATGGAAACAATTAGTCCAAGGGACTGGTACACCATGTGATCCTCAGCCTATATGACTAGAGACCAGAAGACCTAGATGGTGCCTGGCTACCAGTTTCAACAACTCAGAGGGAGATCTATGTAGAAAATCCTAGGTAGAGTGGGAGAACAATGTGGAACAAAACTCAAAATTATATATACATATATATAAAGGGACCAGGTTTGCTGGTCTGATAGAGCCTGGTGGAACCCCTGAGACTATGGCCCCTATCTGCCCTTCAGGTCTGGAACTGAAACTACTCCTGTGGCTTCCAACCAAACAAAAGACAGGCATGTGAACTGAACATTTACATTAACTAGACACACTCCTTGGAGAAATCAGTCATGGAAGAATAGAAGGGTTGTGTGTTTATAGGTAGACAGCTCAGGGGCAGGAATGCATGGGATGGAAGGACACTAGGAAGAGGTAACTATGGGAAGAAAGTGGGAGGAGAACTGTGGCATTGTGGGAAATTGCAGTCAATGTCATGAGAAAAAGTGTATATGAACTGCTGTATGGAAAATAAATATTCTCTGTAAACTTTCACCCAAATCACAATAAAAATAAAAATAAAAAATGGTGTTTTCAAAATTTGTTGACTATTTCAAATGAGTATAATTTGCTGTAAGGAATGAATAACTGATTAATCAAACAAGTAATTTATTTCACACTGATTCTGCTTATAATTGTGTTATGGTAGACTTTAATATTAATTTCTTAAACATAAAAACACAGATTTAATTGAATGAGACTCATTTGTTTGACTCATGCAGAGTGTCAGCACATAAGACCTATAATATAGTGAAATAGTGAGGCACAGATTTCTCCTACTCTTGGCATTAATGTCAATTCACAACAATTCATCAAATTCTGAATATAATATAGCTTGTATAAATTGTACATTACTCACATCATTAATTTCAATGGTAAAATTTTTAAATGCTCTTCATCTTACTCTATTTTCTTATTTAAACCACAGTTCTTTATTTGTAATATTTGAATAAGTGAAACTATATTACACATTTATTTTGAAGATAAAATGATAATACATACAAAGTACTTAATATATGCTATTATCATCATAATATTACTAAATTTTTAAAGCTGATTTTAGAATGCATAATTTATATTCTTGTAATTTTTTTAAAATAATAAACGATGCTAAGATGCTCAGAATAGTCCATAAAGCCATATGTAACTGAAAGAAATAGTAATCATCTCCTTCAAAGCTCACTGTATTCAAGATGCTCTGCATTAAGCTTCATCCCTAGGCATTCCCAGCCTCCTGCTTTGAGACCCTTCCTCAGGAGCCAAATTGATAATTTAGATAGATGTAGAGATTGGGGCATCTCAGAAGGAAGGTTAGGCAATCTACTTCCGTAGTGATACCAACTTGGAAACCCAAGGAGAGGTCAATATGAGTCGGATCCAACTTGACGGCAGTGAGTTTGGTTGAGATTGGGGGGATATTTATGTCCAGGCACATTCTGCAACAAGCTGTAGTTTTATTTAAGGACTTTACTTAAAATGCAGATACCAAGGCTCTAGCCCAGAACTTGTGAGTCTGTCAGTCAGGGATGATACATGTGAAACTTTCTTCATAACTCATATCCCAAATTATTCTGATGCCAGTAACATACTGGCAACATGCTGAGAAATGTTCATTTCTAAGCACCCTAAAACAGAAAATTTCACAAATGTGTTATTATTCAGGTAGAAGGAAGCATTAGCCATGAATAAGGCTGTGAGGGGTTCTTCCTTAAATACAGGCTCTTTAATAGTCAGATATATCAAAACAGTCACCTATTATTTCTAGGAATTCTTAACAACAATATAAATGAATAAATGTGCTTTTGATTCAAGAATGAATCTATTATTTATATCACAGTATACTCCCTTGATCTTTCTAACGTCAGCATATGGAGTATAAATAATCATTTTTAGCCCTGATAACCACACCACTATCATTCACTTAAGATGACAACTATATCTGCATTTCCTACATATTCAGTTTAGTGACTTGTATACTCTTTGCCAGATCTGCATTTATCAAGGTAATACTGAGTGAGGTAAGTAAGGAAAATGAAAAACAAAAACATATAGAATAAGTAATAGTAAAAACCACTTTAATATTCTAGCACACTTGATTTTAGCAAGTTCATTAAATTCACATATAATAAATATATCTGTTCATTAATATTCATCATTTTTTATTTTGCTATTTTTTTGTTGTTGCTAGTGTTGTGTGTTTCAGTCAATTCTGACTCATAGAGACTCTTAATGGCAGGCTAAAATTTTACCATAGAGTTTCTGAAACTGAATATTTTATTGGAGCAGATTACCAGGTCTTTTCTCCCCTTACTCATTTAATATAATTAATTATACTGAAATTTTATTTCAAATACTTAGCATGCTATTTATAATTAATTCTTTATGGTTTTAAATAGATAGATAGATAAAACCCCTTGAATGCTGAGAGTAGATTTTTTTCCCTCATTATTTCCATCGTATAAATGAAAAACTACAGGCAATTGGACTAGTTTTAGTGTAACATTCATCTATATGCCTTATAGGAAAAGCTGACCTGCACCTTCACTGATTATTAAAAACTGAGCTACTTTAAGGAGAGGAAATTAAAACATAAATATAAACCCATTTGCCATTCAGATTTACAATTTCTTTAGATTAAATCATATTGAGCTTCTCTCATCTTAATTTGATTTTCATTTAGAGTTCTCTGTTGCTTAGGTTACATATACATATGTGCATGCATATATTTATATACATGCATATGTTCAAATATATGTAAATATTCAAGTATTTAAAGGTCATTGGGAAAGATACAGTGAAGAATAAGCCCCCTCATAGTCCTGATGTTCTAGGTACCAAGAAAGAAAAAAAAAAAAAAATCACTCAAGATGCATTGGAACAGAACATCTGCTTCTTTTAGATTTGGATTTTGAATTTGTATCACCCAGGTGAGACAGCTATCTAAGTCTAAGAAATTGAAATAAAAACAAAAATACTCAGTCTGTCACTGAAGTGAGCCTTTACTGTCCAGAAGGTATCAAAGTTAGAGACCAGTTCTAGGATGTGCTCCCACAGGCCATAGTGCCTAAGATCTTCAGTAAACCACTTCCACTGATAGGAAGATGTTTTATTTGGAAACTATAATCCATATGAGGAAATAAGCCCTTATAAGGGAAAATCAAATCTAGAAATAAAAAGTAAGCCATATATATATGTATTTTTTTTTTCATTTTACTTCTTTACACTCATTTGCCTGTGTTTATTATTAAATTATTCAAGAAAAAATAATAAATTATGACTCTACAGTACCCAGATTAGATTATCAAAAAGCATACATCTGTTTTTTCTCTTATGAATTATCAAAAATAAACACTTTAACAAATAACATTGACTAAAACAGATAAAAGGAGCTCTGGTGGTACAGTAATTAAGGCACTTGGTTACTAACCTTTCAAACCCACCAGCCACTCTGTGAAAGAGAGATGAGGCAGTATGCTTCTGTAAAGATTTACAGCCTTGGAAGCCCAATCGGTGTTGCTATGAGTTAGAATTGACTCAGTGGCAGTAAATTT